TTAGGAAAATCCTAAGTATGTGGAAAGAAAGTAGCTCATGGGTCAAAGAAGAAATCACAAGGGAAAGTAGAAGATATTTTGAACTGAATGAAAACAAAAATATTACACATCAAAATTTATGGGATATAGCTAAAGCCATACTTAGAGGAAAATTTATAGCATTAAACCACCTATATTAGAGAAGAAGATCTCAAATCATTAATCTCAGCATCTACTTAAGCTAGAAAAAGAAGAGCAAGTGAAATGTAACAAAAGAAAGGAAATAATAAAGATGAAAATGGAAATCAATAAAATAAAATGCAGAAAAAGTATAGAGAAAAATCAATGAAATGAAAAGCTGGTTCTTTGAAAAAAGGCAATAAAATTGATGAAGATCTATTTAGAATGACCAGGGGGAAAAAGAGAAAAGACACAAATTATCAATAGTAAGAATGAAAGATCCTACAGACATTAAAGGGATCCTATAACCAATAAAGTAAACAACTTAGATGAAATGGACAAATCTGTGGAAAGACACAAGCTATCAGAGCTCATTCAAGAAGAAATAACTTGAATAGTAGTCCTTTATCTATTAAAGAACATAAGCTCTTGGCATAAAAGCTTTCCATAGAGAAAACGCCAGGCCCCGATGATTTTACTGGTGAATTCTACTAAAGATTCAAAAAAGAAATAAAACCAATGGTCTATAAACTCTTCCAGAAAATAGAAAAAGGAAATTCTTACCTACTCATTTTATGAGGCCAGATTTACTGATACCAAAACCACATAAGGCTATTATAAAGAGAAAAAAAAACACAACAAAACAGAGAAAAGACATTAAAGATAAAGAACACATGGAGGAAGAACACAGCAGAAAACATGGAGAGAGAAAGTGGCCAGAGGACTGACACTGACAGTGCCTCCCAAGTGCAAACCCCTGTATAGTGTTTCATAGCATGAACTTGGAGTCACACTGCCTGGGTTCGGGTCCTAGCCCCACTACTTGCTAGTTACATAATTTTGGCCAAGTCACCTAACTTCTCTGTACTTCAATGTCCCCATTTTTAAGTGGAGATGGTAACAGAACTCCCCTCATATGGTTGTTATGAAAATTGAACGAATAAATACACTTCAAATGCTTATAATAGTACCTGGCACAGAGTGAGCACTACACAAATGTTTGCTGAAATTACAATTATTATTCATGTTATATTAGTTGGTTGTCACCTTTATTAAGTCATGATATGTGTCCTCAAAATGAACGAAGCAGCATAAGAAGTGACTATTCTCATTGTATTAGTTCCCTGTGGCTGGCATAACAAATCACTTCCTGGCTTAAAACCACAGAAATGTATTCTCTCGCAGCTCTGGAGGCTGGGACTTCAATACCAGTTTCACTGGGCTGAAATCAAGGGGTTGGCAAGCCTGCATTCTCCCTGGAGATTCTCAGGGAGATTCTGCTCCTGGACTCTTCTGAGTTCTGGCAGCTGCCAACGTTCTTTGGCTTGTGGCTGCACCCCTCTAATCTCCGCCTCTGTGTTTACATTGCCTCCTCTTCTCTGTGTGTCAAATCTCCCTCCGCCTCTCAGAATGACATTTGTGGTTGGATTTAGGGCCTACTCAGATATCCAGAATAATCTCCGCATGTCAAGATCCTTAATTTAATCATATCAGCAAAGACCCCTCTTCTTTATAAGGTAACATTTATAAGTTACCTTATATATAGACCTAATTATCTTTGGATAGGCATTATTCAACCTATTATACCCATCCCTGGGGTAGACGGATCTCGTAGAGAAATTACAACATATATAATATTTTTTAAGAGGACATTTAGCTCTCTCTACAACAAACCTGTTAGAATATGCAACATGCCAAGGCACAAACTTTTCACCTGATAGGTCCCTAAATTGTGAGTATCGAATCCATAATGAACTACAACATCTCCTAGGACTAACATACAAACTAAAATCCATAAAATTAAGACAAACATCACAAACTTTGGGGGAGGGGTGCTACTAGAAACTTACTAAGTGCCTTCCTATGATCCAAATAAAATAGCTTATTAAAATGGCTAGTAAGAACCAAGAACTAGATTTGACAATGGCAGTTGTCACTAAAGGTTGAAAACAATGGGCTCACTCTTGATGACCACAGGTACCCCACCCAGACCCTGCATATTTACCCTGTGCTCCACAGTAGTGAAGAAATTAATTTCTAGAATCAGGCCTGAGTTCAAGACCTGATGCTATTATTATTAGTGATGTGACCTTGGACAAATCATTTCACCCCTTTGAGCCTGTTTCTTCATCTATAAAATAGGAGTAGTAAGTTCTTACCCTGCAGAGTGGCCGTGAGGTTTAAATAAGAACTCATGTAAAGTTCTAGCATGGCAATTAGCATATAGAATAACGGCTCAGTAAATCATAATCACAATTTATTATTATGTACTAAACACTACTATTTCTTTCTTTCTTTTTTTTTTTTAAAGATTTTATTTATGTATTTGACAGAGAGAGACAGCGAGAGAGGGAACACAAGCAGGGGGAGTGGGAGAGGGAGAAGCAGGCTTCCCGCCGAGCAGGGAGCAGGATGCAGGGCTTGATCCCAGGACCCTGAGATCATGACCCGAGCCGAAGGCAGACGCTCAACAACCGAGCCACCCAGGTGCCCCTAAACACTACTATTTCTAATAAAACACTATCTGCTATTCTATTGCAGTAGAAATATCCTCTCATCTTCAATTTCCTTATTTTCAGAGTGGGAGGAGTTTTTCTTTTGGGGACTGTGATCTCAAGGTGAAAGGTATTAACACCACATAGAAAAAGCCCGGAAAATAACACAGTCTGCAATTCTGGTATCCTCCTTGGGGTAAGAAGAAAAGAAAGATGAAGAGAGTAAGGACTCTGTAAACCAGTAAAGGACAGGAAGTAGGGCCTGAAGAGTTTAATGTAGGACTAAGCGCTCTAACCTAGAACGCCTGATGTTTGGGGTAATGAAACAAGATGAAGAATTTAAATAGCAAAAGTCTAAAAAGGGGGATGCAATTGATTCACTCGGCATAGGAATTCACTAAATGATGAGAACTCTGCACTTAGGAGAGAGGAAAGTTGAGAGGAGTGAGTTATGACAGGGACAAGGACATCACCATGAGCACAGACAAGGCCAACCCAACCCAGCTCATCTTCACACACACAACACCAGCTCTGGGACCGAGGTGAAGTGGAAGGTGGACAAGAGAGCCGAAAAACTCAAGCAAGCTTTTGTTTAGGACAAATAAGATCCTGCCAGCGACTCCAAGGCATGGGTAGCATGTGGCTTGTCTCAGGATTTCCAGCAGTTAGCCCTGTACCTGGCATGTCATCGATCAATCTGGGCTGGAAGAACAAGTGCACATACTCAGTGAAAATACCAGCAGGAGACGAGAAGTCGAGCTAGAGGTGCCCTTCTGATCGTGAGACTGTGTGTCCAGTCTTGCTCCTGTCCAAACCACTCTCCGGACTGCAGCTCTGAGCCCCTCACTGCTTCAACACTTCTCTGGGGCCTCCAACAATAGGACCAGATTCTTTAGCTTGGCCAGCCAAGCTTTTTGTGTTAGCTCCTGGCCTACTTTTCAGCCTCGTTTCTGCCGCAATCCTCCTCGTATGCTCTGCTCCAGTCATGTCAGATGATTTGCAAATCATCTAGGTGTGATATAGTACCTTCAAATTATTATCAGTCCTTTCTAATCATATTCCCTTTGGGCAATGGGCCATTTAGAAAGTGCTGAATACATATGTGTTGAATGAATGAATACCGTTTCAGAGATGGATTCAGAACTCTGCATTTCCAGATGTTTTCTCAGAAGTAACGGGTCCCTTATAATAGTCATATTTGCTCTGGAGAACTCTACTACTCAGTCCTTCTTTAAGAGGGAGAACTTACTCCTCAAGTCTCTAGAAAAGCCTTTAGGCTTTAGCCACCCTTATCTGTACCCATGGTTTCTACATTGTTTTCTTCCCCCATCAGAGAGAGAACAGAGAAAGATCAGGTTACATTGCTTTCTTGGGCCTGCATAAATTCCTGTGAGGTTCTCTCTTCTGTCAGGAAAAGTTTCCCTGGCAACCATATTTACACACTCACTTAATTCCCTCCCCTCCTTTGATTTGCTGGTTGGTATAAAAATTAATTTGCATTGAATTGCTTAAGCTTACAAGTTAATTAGTTTAACAGACTCACAAAATTTTAGAACTTGGTTTCTGGCCAAAATTTGCTTCTTAAGGGGCCTGTCTCCTTTCCTTTGAAATTTGAATGTAATTCTCTTCAGTTCAATATTTTTCTTTTTTTTTTTTTTTAAAGATTTTATTTATTTATTTGAGAGAGAGAATGAGAGAGAGAGCACATGAGAGGGGGGAGGGTCAGAGGGAGAAGCAGACTCCCTGCTGAGCAGGGAGCCCGATGCGGGACTCGATCCTGGGACCCCAGGATCATGACCTGAGCCAAAGGCAGTCGCCCAACCAACTGAGCCACCCAGGCACCCCAGTTCAATATTTTTCAACACATATAGTTTCTGGCTATAGGTAGAGAAAAGAATATTCTCCTAAGGGCATCTGGCCAATATTATTAGTTAGGAAGATCAAGAGAGGTAAGAGGTGCCTCTGAATTAATTCAGAGTAAGCAAGGAGTCAAATTCCCAAAGATCAGCTATGATAAAGAATGGGAAGAGAAGAGTCAAGGACCAAGACAAAATGTCTGGGGCATACGAAATGATGAACACCTAAGATTCTGGGTGATCAGAGTTCAGGACCTAGATAACAGGAATGGAACATGAGTATCAAGAATGGAGTGTCATTAATTCATCCACCATGTATTTATTAAGCATCTAATAGTACTTGGTGTTGGGAATACAGCAGTGAATAAGCCAGACTCAGGTCCTGCCTTCATAAGGTTTTTGTCAAATATTTAAATAGTGAACCAATGTTGGCTTTGTTATTGAATCAAGTATCTTTGGGCTAGGGGCTCATTATACAATTTCTTACAAGGGCCAGAACTGGTTTCAGATGGATGGAGAAGGGACTTAACCAACAGAAACAAGTTCGAGAAGTCCTCCCTGGAATAGGTGAGTTGGCACATCAACAAGTCTTTGATATGTATAATAGTCTCTTTACATCTTCAACAACAATGATACTTGAGCCTCTAGACAAGGAAATGAAGAAGGGTATATTTATCACAGGGCACAAGGCTAGATACTTTGCAGTATATATGTTTTCTAGAGTAAAAAGTATATAAAGGTACAAGCTATTCTTTTTTTTTTTTAAGATTTTATTTATTTATTTGACAGAGAGAGACACACAGCGAGAGAGGGAACACAAGCACGGGGAGTGGGAGAGGGAGAAGCAGGCTTCCTGCAGAGCAGGGAGCAGGATGCGGGGCTCGATCCCAGGACCCTGGGATCATGACCTGAGCTGAAGGCAGACACTTAATGACTGAGCCACCCCGGTGCCCTAGGTACAAGCTATTCTTAAGCATAGTCAACAACTATTTATTGAGCATCTACTATGTTCAAGGAATGGTTTTCAGAACTGAAGCTATGGATATGAAAAAGACATAGTTCCTTAGCAATTACAACACTGTAGTAAGTGCTAAAATGAGATGCTAAAGCACAAAGGAAGGCCAGAGAGGAAAGATACTAATTCATTAAAAGCAAGTGGGGAGGGGGCGCCTGGGTGACTCAGTCGTTAAGCATCTGCCTTTGGCTCAGGTCATGATCCCGGGGTCCTGGGATCGAGCCCCGCATTGGGCTCCTTGCTCAGCAGGGAGTCTGGTTCTCCCTCTCCCTCTGCCCCTGCTTGTGTCCCTTCTCTTGCTGTGTCTCTGTCAAATAAGTAAATAAAATATTAAAAAAAAAAAAAAAGCAAGTGGGGAAATGCCTCTGAGATGCAATGCTTGAATTGAATCTTAAGAGATAGAGAAGTTTGTTGTTTTCAGCTGATAGATTTGGTGGTATTTGTTACACAGCAATAGATAACTACTACATGTCTTATGGCGACTCTACCACTAGCACAAATAGGAGACCATGGAGAACACCTGGCCATCTAAACTTTGTTTCCTGACATATACCATAGGTTATACTCTGAATCTCTTTACAGTTTTAATCTTACATACCCTTAGGCTTACCTGGTCCATATCAGGAGTAGAAAGTGAGAACAAGCCCTCTGGGAATGGAATGACACAGGGAATGAGAGAAAGCAACACAATCTCAGGCTTGTTTGATATCCTCCACAGAAGAACCTAAGTTGGCTGGTGTTGGGACCTGGTCAGGTGGTCAGCTAGTATCACGTGGTGTAAGGACTCGGTCAGTACTAGCCAAATAATTACTCAGAGGGACCAGGAGTGGGAGGAACGAGAGAATGAGTAAAAGTTGTTTTTGAGAGAGCAGTAATCAGGAGAACCAGAAAAACTTCATTTGTTGTCAGTGCCAAGGAATGATTGTAAAGCCAAAAATAAGAGATAATATCAAAGATTAAGTTTTCCTGATTCAGATGAGCAGATAAAAGAATAGACCAGGCAACAAAGACAAGGGTGTCATGTTCCTATGAGCATTCAAGACAAATGTGGTAAACAGGCCACACTGTTCAAAGTTTCTGGGTAGTCCCTGGTATGGGAGTGAAGGGGTAGCATCAGCCTGACTAAAAAGGCATCAGATTAGGGCAGATAAATTGTATTATATCTGTTCAATCCCAATTTCTGTTTTAGCAGGTTAAAAAAAGCTTGCCATAGCTTCCTACAAGCAAATGGGAATATCTGACTAAAAAAGAATAGAAATGAACTCATTTCTTATTTAAATTGGGAGTATCAACAGCATCAGGACTGTAACTCTACCTAATAATAGTCTCAAGACGTGATGGATGAGTTTCCAGGAGCCATTCCAGGTAATAATTCCTTGCCTCTTTATTCTCTTATCTTCATACTGACTATCTAGTTGAACCTCAAAATATTCCCCATTTGCCCTTAATATCAGGAGTCCAAAATGAGAAGACCACAGAAAAATGTGATGGTGCACCATGACACAGCAAGGACTTTGACACACTACACAATCAAAAGAAGGGATCCAGCACAACATGCTTTTCCAGCTTTAGGAAGTAGTACTGATACCTTCAGGCAGAACTTATTCGATGATGTGTGGGGTCCAGTGCAAAATGAAAGAGCAAGACCCTTGTTAAAAAATTAAGAATTTCAAGATAGCAACAACGGAGCATTAAACCAAGTGAGGAGACCTGCTAAGTGCAGGGCCCTAGGAGATTGCCTAGGTTGTGTACCTGCGAAGCTGGTCCTGCCTTCAGGGACAGTATAGCATGGTCCTTTAGAGTCAGAGTTGGGTCCAAATCCCATCATTTTTTTTTTTTAAAGATTTTATTTATTTATTTGAGAGAGAGAGAATGAGAGACAGAGAGCACGAGAGGGAAGAGGGCAGAGGGGGAAGCAGACCCCCCGCTGAGCAGGGAGCCCGATGTGGGACTTGATCCCAGGACTCCAGGATCATGACCTGAGCTGAAGGCAGTCGCTTAACCAACTGAGCCACCCAGGCACCCCAGAAATCCCATCTTTGCCACCCATTATTTATGTGATCTTAGGCAATCTATTTAGCCTCTTCATACTTCTAAGAGGTTGTGTGCTTGTAATCCAGTATTGTGAGGATTAAATGGGATAAGGAATAGAATGTATACAAAGTGTTTAGCACGTGGTAAGCACTCAAAAAGTGGTAGCTGAACTATTATTGTTCAGTGAAATATGCAGGTAATTATCAGAGCAGTAAGTTTAAGAAATGAATTGCTGAACTGCTATTAAGGATATGAAAGCATGTGACTGGGATTTTAGGGCAACTAAATGAGGCAGACAAGGAAGATCGAATCTTCTGCTTGGCTCTTCTGCCTTCTCTAACCACTTTCCTACTTCTCTCTTCCCATGTACTGCAAAGCATACAAAGGGTGATGTACATGCTGCCTCCATTTTTTATCCACAATCCTCTTTACTCTGGCATTTAATATCCCCATGGCCACCCCCTTCTCAAAAAGTTACTAATGACCCCGTTTACTAAATAAAACGGGCATTTCCCACTTTCTCTGTACAATTTCATACTGCTGACCGATTCCTCCAGCTCAAAACCCTCTCTTCTCCTTTCTGACTTTTGTTAACTAACACTGCACCCTCATGGCTAACAGCATGTCCAGTCAGCCTTGCATCTATCCAGTACACAAATGGTCGTGAAGAGAATGCATTTGTTGGATGAATAAACTAGATGGTTCTTTGGCTTCTCTGATATTCCTTCTTTTCTACCATACTAACCCCATTTCTTCTTCCTACCTCCCTAGATGTGGGCTTCTCCAAGCTTCAGCCCTTGGTCCTCTATTCTTCTGTTTCAATGCTGCTACCTTTGGTCGACTAAGCTAATCACATGGCTTCACTGATCACCTTCTCTACATAAGACTCCTTGACTTCTCTTTTTTGAGCACTAGCCCCCCACTTCCAAATACTTATGGGACATGTCCACTTGTGAGTTCCAGTATCACCTCAGGATATCTAGCATCTAGCTTTTCCTCTTCTCCCCAAACTGGCTTTCCTTTTTGTCTTCTCTGTTCATCTTGTCACCCATGTTCAAGGCTGTATGATTCTTCCTTATTTCTTGCCCTCCATATCCACAGTCATAGAGTCCTGTTCATGTTTCCTTTGTGATACTTATTGAATCCGTCTTTTATTTTCACTGCTGTCACCCTAATTCAATTCCTTACCCCCTCACATCTAGACTATGTAAATAATGTACTAGCTGGTTTTGCAGTTCTCTTTCTATCCCTACTAAAGTTTATTCTCCACACTGTTGTTGAGAGTCTTCTTAAAAATACTTTCACGACCCCACATTTTCCTAACCAAATATCTTCAGACTTTCCATCATATGGGATAAAGTTCTAACTCCTTAGTTCAGCATTCAATGCCTGTTCAAGTCAGGCTTCAATCACTGCTTCCAGTCTTACAACTTCTCTGCTTAAACCTGATCTTGCCAGACTGGTCCCTGAAAACTTTCTTCCATACTCTAGTCCCATGCTTTATAAACATGATTTTTCCCATCTGGAAATTCCTTCCACCCTCCTTCTCTCAAGCCTTCCTTTGTAATCATACTCCATAATGATCTTTCTCCTTTTTTTGACTCCTTTAATACCACGTTTCAGCACTTTGACAACTTACTGAATGGCTGCTTTACATTTAATCCTCACAACTCCATGAGGTAGGTGGCATTGTTACAAAGAAACAAAGTCAACTAACTTGTCATATAGCAAGTAACTGGTAGAACTGGGATCCAAATCCTTGCCTAGCTGAGAATAATCCCCAAACTACACCACCTCTCCCATTTTCCTGTCTCTTCCAAACCCCCAAACGGCACAGTATTTGCACACAAGCAGGTGTTCAGTAAACATGGTGATTGAGAAAATTGCTTAAATAGCACCCGTGACTCTCTAGCACTTACAGAATTGTCAATCCTAGCAATGCGTATTAGGCACATCAACTTCTTCACGTTGCTTGATCTGTAGCATAGTTCAAGACGGGATTTGCCAAAACTTCACCACTATCCATTCTAAAAATTAATGTTGGTTTAAGCAAAGCTAAAAGGCCTTTATCTGATTCAAACATTAGGTGAGTTTTGGGGATGTCCATTGTATTACCTCTTGGCCCATCCTTGTTGTTTCCAGATGATTAGGAAGTGAACATAGGCTGGCTAGTTGATGGCTTATGAGGTAAAATAGACTATTTATTTATTTTTTAAAGATTTTATTTATTTGTTCATAAGAGACAGAGAGAAAGAGAGGAGAGGCAGAGGGAGAAGCAGGCTCCCCGCCGAGCAGGGAGCCCGATGCGGAACTCGATCCCAGGACCCCGGGATCACGACCTGAGCCGAAGGCAGACACAACCATCTGAGCCACCCAGGCGCCCTGAAATGGACTATTTAGAGTTCTGGAGGTGGATGCTAAGGCAGCAGAATAGGATTTCTCTGCTTTGGTAGCTAAGTCCTTGGTAAAAGAAGCCCAATAAAAGTGCATCGTGGGTGGAAAATGAGATCAAAAGAGGATAAGAGTAAGGAGGGAGACAGAACAGAAAGAAGGAAATGCTAGAAATATTCTATTGAGAAGATGGTGCTGTCCTTTTCTGAATAGTTGCTCGAAGCTGTCGGATCCAACCCTGTCCTTTGCGGCTGGCACCATATAGCAGTGGGTTCTGTCACTTCTGCATGATTCATGGCTCAGTCCTGAACTGCTTGTCCTGACCCATATCACAGGCCAGATCCTCCCTTGCTCCAGATCCTCCCGGCTTCTGACCTTATTACTCACTTCCTCAGGTCTCAGAAACCTGACCTCACAGATCTGACATTCAGCATTGCTTCCCTGGTTATGCCCTGTATTTTCGTCTTGTTGTCTGGTGTAGATCTGTCTTCTCAGGATTGTGCCCCTATGGCCACACATTGTACCCAGTGTCCAGGCCTTATACCTTGGAGCTACTGCAAAGTATCCCTTTCTTATCTCTGTATGTTGGACTGTTACTTGGAAAGATACAAGTGACAAAGACCAGGGGTGAGGCTCAGAAAAACTGATAAGGGGAAAAAGTGGGGGAGAAGAACAATAAGAAGGAAAATACCACTGGAAAATTGTAGTGGCAATTAGAAATTCTAGATTACTTTTGGAAACTTACTTTATCAAGGAAGGAAAAAGGCCATGGCTACAATATAAAGCCATTGCCTAGGGATACCATACTCTTCCAGTGTCTATATTCACTCTCTCTGCTTTGGCTGCCCTTCCTGTCCTTCCCAATCTTCTCTGTGAGGCAAACTCCTATTCATCCTTCAAGATCTTGCTTAAACGTGTTCTTTTCTGGAAAGCCTTCTCTGACCCTCTCAGACAGCTAATTGTTCCCTCCTTTGTGTTTCCACAGCTCTTTATATACACATCTATTATGCCATCACTTTTACTGGCAATTTTATTTGTCTCTCCCACTACTTCTTTGAGGACAAGGACTAATTATCTTATTCATCTCTGCATCCCCAAGACATAGCACAAGACACAGCAGAGTGCCTGGCATATAGCAAGTGTTTGTTGTTGCGTGATAAAAGACATCAAGAGCAGTAAGAAGTGCAATCTGCACTTCACTTGCAAAAATCAAATTGGTTCCTCTACTTTTCATGTGTAACCACGTTTTCCCTTGATTTGGGAGAAACGACTTCAGACTCATAAAGGAAATTCTATTGATATCACTGGCACGTTAGCCAGTTTTTCATCCCCATTGATGATTGCAACATCCCCCTCACCGCACTCTGCCAAGAAGCTCCCAGGGCAAGCTTAACATTAGTGGCACATCGCCCATCCTACCATCTCTGTTGTAGTGAAAGCTAAATTACACCGTGAGCCTAAAGCTGCCACCGATCTTAGTGAACTGGTGTGGTTGGGGGAGGGGAGGTGGATAATCCAAAGAACACACTGTTAGCCGACCTAGTAGAAGGGCGAGAAAGGAAGATGAATTTAAACCTTGCCTTATAAAAAATTGGTTAGAAACTCACGCAAAACAGCCGCTTCCTCTGGACATGACAGACCCGATCCAGGTGTCCGGCAGTGACCTTTGCCCATGAGTGTCAGGTCATCACCCAGCACAGAAAACAAGGGGCCAGTGCCTTTCCTGGGCATCCCTCCTTCTCAAACCTGGCAAATCCTGGGGCCTGGTTTTCCTTTAGGGGATTGTCCTCTCCTCCCAGCACCGGCAATCCCCAGTTCCCTCTGCCGGTGCCCCCCCAAGCACCAATCTCGCTTTCGTCCCACGCGGGGCGGGGGCGGGGGGGGGGGGCTGCTTGACTCCGGGTCAAAGTGCCGGCGGCCGGGCTGTCAGGCCCGACTGA